TTCAAGAGTCCAACAAGAGTCATTAAAGACTGTTCCTTGAAGAACTTGTAGTCTGGTTAGAGAGGCTGATGGGTAAACAGATAATATCAATAAAATATCACAAATCATAATATAAAGGATGAAGGTGTCAGGGGAAACTGGATATTGTGGTGAGATCAAATTTTTACATTTAAAAACTGCACCAAGGTAAAATGAGAAAAGAATTTGTCTCTTTGTGAAAGCTGGTGTCTGAACGGCATTTTTAATGTTTACTTGGGCTTAATATGGGTCCCAGCTATTAATGCTTCTGGCAAAAGTAAAGGAAACTGTACATTCATGTAAATAGGGTGTACACTGAGGTAAATTTGTAGCATTCAAGTTATTTCTAATGTTTCATAGTTTCTACTTCCTGATGCTTCATCTTTATTATTTGTCTTCATATAGGCAGCCCCTGAGTTATGAACAGGATAGGTTCTATAGGTTCGTTGTGAAGTTGACTTCACAGATAAGTTGGAACAGATACATTTGCCTATTACCTGTCATAGCCTCCACTCATAAGTGTGCATTGTACGTAGTTGAATATTTATGACTCAGAGACAACCTGTGTATTATTTTTGAGTCATATACTACATGGCCAGGGCATGTACAATATAGAGATGGAGGGAAAAAAGGGAAATACTAAAAAAAATGAGAGAAAGAAAGAAAAATCGAAAAACTTCTAATGGGTTAAAATTAAAGAACAGTTATAAGAATTTAATTAAGCAAGTATATTGATATATTTACAATATGCAGATAAGTGGGCACTTAGTGCTTTATCTAAATTCTAGTTGTTTCCTATGTTAAGCCACATATCATTGCTGTTAATGTTTTCATAGGTATTGTCATCATTTAAAAGATAACATTTTCATAATAGCAGGGTCTTTTCTGTAAAAGAATACTAACCAAATGTCTAAATCGTAAAAGTCAAAAAATGTTTTGTAATAGTTGCTTCCAGTATATTCCTTTTTCTCCTCAAAAGAAAGATGAATTCTCATCAATACAGTAATACTCCACTGTTCACAAATCTCCACTTTTGCTCAGTCCATTGGCCAATGTTTTTAATATAGGCAGTAAACATGAACATATAGTATAGAATAAGAAGATTATGTAGACCCACATATGTCTGTAATTACATACTAATCCTTTCCCTAGCAAATATATATCGGGAAACCTACTATGTGCCAGATACTGTCAGCCAAAGAGGCCCGCACATTTCAATGGTGCAGTTT